CCGTGGTCGGGGAGAAAACTCTAATCGTGGTAATAACAATGCACCAAAGATCCCTCCTCACCACCAGCAGTGGAAAAGGAAGGAACATAAGCATGAAGCGGTGCAAGCAGCAAAGCCAGAAAATACATGCTATAGATGTGGAGGAAAAGGGCACTGGTCACGCACATGTCGTACGCCAAAGCACCTGGTTGAGCTGTATCAAGCCTCCCTGAAGAAGACAGAGAAAAATGTTGAAGCAAATTTTATTTCTGAAGATAATTTAGACTNGTCACGTACATGTCGTACGCCAAAGCACCTGGTTGAGCTGTATCAAGCCTCCCTGAAGAAGACAGAGAAAAATGTTGAAGCAAATTTTATTTCTGAAGATAATTTAGACTTCATGCATTTAGATGTAGCTGATTACTTTGCACTCCCCGAAGGAGAAACAAGTCATGTGATCGGTAGTGAATTTGTAAAAATGTAAATATTTTAATTTTTGTTGTTTGCAGTAGATAGTATGGTTATGTAATTGTTGTACATAAATAAAAGTTATGCTTTGAAAATGATGTTTACTATCATATTTATTTTGTTTATGTCATTTTGAAGAATATGGATAATCCTCAAATTATGTTTGGATCAAAGACCAATCATGAAAATATTTGTGTAATTGATAGTAGAACAACCCATGCCATATTCAAAGATCAGAAATACTTTTCTTATTTGTATAAAGAAAAAGCAAATATTTCAACAATTTCTGGTAATATAAGTTTGATTGAAGGCTCCGAAAGAGCTACTGTATTTCTGTCTAAGGGAACAAAGCTTATTATCGATAATGCATTGTTCTCCTCCAAGTCCCTAAGAAACTTGTTGAGTTTTATAGATATCCGCCGAAATGGGTATCATGCTGAGACAATAGATGAAATGAACGTGGAATATCCTTGTATTACAAAGAATATTTTTGGCCATAAATGCATTGTAGAAAAGTTACCAACTTTATCTTCTGGCTTATACTATTCAAAGATTAGTATAGTTGAAGCGCACTCTATCGTAAACCAGAAGTTTACTTATTCAAATACTTTTGTGCTTTGGCATGGCCGTTTGGGCCATCCTGGATCAATAATGATAAGACGAATTACTGAAAATTCGAGCGGGCATCCATTAAAGAACCTGAAGATTCTTACAAATGATGAATTTTTTTGTGATGCTTGTTATCAAGGCAAAATGATCACTAGACCATCACCAATGAAGGTTGGCATTGAGTCCCCTGCCTTTTTAGAACGTATACATGGGGATATATGTGGACCTATTCACCCACCAAATGGGTTGTTTAGATATTTTATGGTCCTAATAGATGCATCTTCAAGATGGTCTCATGTGTACCTACTATCATCTCACAACCTGGCGTTTGCAAAGCTATTAGCCCAAATAATTCGATTAAGGACACAATTCCCAGATTATCTTATAAAGGCTATTCACCTTGATAATGCTGGAGAATTCTCATCTCAAGCTTTTGATGATTACTGTCTATCAGTTGGGATAAAAATTGAACATCCTGTAGCTTATGTTCATACACAAAATGGACTTGCAGAGTCATTTATTAAACACCTGCAATTGATAGCAAGACCACTACTTATGAAAACAAAATTGCCCACTGCTGTTTGAGTCCATGCTATCTTGCATGCATCATCACTTATCCGTCTCGGACCGACATATTATAATAAATATTCTCCGTCACAATTAGTTTTTGGTCATGAACCAGTTATTGCCCATCTACGAATTTTTGGATGTGCTGTATATGTACCAGTAACACCACCACAACGCAGTAAGATGGGCCCACAAAGAAGGTTAGGAATATATGTCGGGTTTGAATCATACTCTATTATTCGCTATCTTGAACCATTGACGGGAGATTTATTTATTGCTCGATTTGCAGATTGACGGTTTAATGAAATAAATTTCCCACAATTATGGGGAGAGATAAAGGAAATCAAAAGAGAAATTGTGTGGAAAGTTTTATCGTTATCTCATTTTGATCCACATACCCCTATATGTAATCAGGAGGTCTAGAAGATCATCCATTTACAAATATAGCAAATCAAATGCCAGACGCATTTACTGATTTGAATTGGATAACTAAGTCACATATCCCTGAAGAGAATGTGCCTACCCGAATTGATGTCCCAGCAGGACCATCTACTAGCATGAGAGCTAGTGAACCTAAAGCACGCCTGAAGCGTGGTAGGCCTTTGGGTTCTAAAGGATCGAAATCCTCGAAAAATAAAATCGACAAATGATAACGATACTATGAAGGGATCTCCTGAAAAGACCCAAGATCTGATTAGTTCTGAGATTCCTGAAGAAATCACTGAACCCGAGACCCAATATTTGATTAGTTCTGAGATTCCTTAAGAAATCACTGAACCCGAGACTCAAGTGAGCAAAGAACTTTTAATAAGTTCTACTGGTGATGGGATTAATTTAAATCGATATGAAATAGTGGTGGATAATATTTTTGCATATAATATTTCACTTAACATTATGCAAGATAGTGAGAATCTTGAACCCCGATCTGTCAAAGAATGTCGACAAAGATCTGATTGGCCAAAATGACAAGAGTCAATTCAATCGGAATTGAAGTCACTTGCTAAAAGAGAGGTCTTTGGACCAGTAGTCCAAACACCTGCTGGTATAAAGCCAGATGGTCATAAATGGATTTTTGTGCGAAAAAAGGAATGATAAAAATGAAGTTGAAAGATACAAGGCTCGCCTTGTTGCACAAGGATTCTCACAACGACCTGGAGTCGATTATAAAGAAACATATTCACCAGTTATGGATGCCATAACATTTCGATATCTCATCAGTTTAGCCTTACGTTAAAGGCTTGAAATACATATAATGGATGTGGTTACAACTTATCTGTACGGGTCACTTGATAATGAAATTTACATGAAAATCCCTAAAGGATTTAAAATGCCTGAAACATATTCAAAATCTCGAAAAATGTACTCAAGCAGATTACAAAGATCTTTGTACGGTTTAAAGCAATCTAGGCGCATGTGGTATAATCGCCTCAGTGAATATTTGTTGAAAGAGGATTACATAAATGATATTATTTGTCCATATATTTTTATAAAGAAAATGGCTTCGGAATTTGTTATACTTGCTGTTTATGTTGATGACATAAATCTTGTTGAAACTTCAGAAGAGCTCCAAAAGGTAATTGAATATCTTAAAAAAGAATTTGTGATGAAAGATCCTGGAAAGACAAAACTTTGTCTTGGTCTGCAAATTGAACATTTAGCAGACGGGATCTTTATCCATCAATCTGCCTATACAGAAAGGGTCTTAAAACGCTTTTACATGGACAAAGCGCACCCATTGAGTACACCAATGGTTGTTCGATCACTTGAAGTGAATAAGGATTTGTTCCGACCTCCAGAAGAGGATGAGGAACTCCTTGGTCCCGAAGTACCCTATCTCAGTGCAATTGGTGCACTAATGTATCTTGCTAATGCTACAAGGTCTGACATAACATTTTCTGTTAATTTACTAGTAAGATATAGTTCTTCTCCAACACGGAGACATTGGAATGAGATTAAGCATATATTGCGATATTTAAAGGGAACTCTTGATATGAGTTTGTTTTATGCTAACAAAATAGTGCAGATCTTGTTGGTTATGCAGATGCAGGTTTTTTATCTGATCCCCATAAAGCTAGATCTCAAACCGGGTACGTTTTTACATGTGGAGGTACTATCATATCATGGCGCTCCACAAAGCAATCTATTGTTGCTACTTCTTCAAATCATGCTGAAATAATAGCTATTCATAAAGCAAGTAGGGAATGCNTGAGATAATAGCTATTCATGAAGCAAGTAGGGAATGCGTATGGTTGAGATCAATAATTCATTTTATTCGAGAAAAATATGGTTTGGAATGTGAGAAAAGACCCACAATTTTATACGAAGACAATGCTGCATGCATAGCCCAATTGAAGGGAGGATTTATAAAAGGAGATAGAACGAAGCACATTTCACCAAAATTATTCTACACACACGATCTTCAAAAAAATGGTGACATTGATGTGCAACAAATCCGTTCAAGTGACAATCCGGCAGATTTATTCACTTAATCTTTACCAACTTCAACTTTTGAGAAGATGGTATACAAGATTGGAATGCAGAGACTTAAATATTTAAAACAAGGTTTTCATCAGGTGGAGTAAAATACGCGATGTACTCTGTTTTCCTTACTAAGGTTTTTTCCCACAAGGTTTTTCTTATAAGGTTTTTAATGAGGCAGCTAGCAATGCATATTACTAAATATGTGTACTCTTTTTCTTTCACTAGGATTTTTTCCCACATGATTTTTTTCTAGTAAGGTTTTAATGAGGCACATTATCTTTTAATGAATATCCAAGGGGGAGTGTTATAAATATATTATATTATGAATGTTTATTTAGTACTCCGTTGTAAATAAGCTTCCTGAAGAAGCTTATACATATGAGACCCCGCCGTAAATATATTTATCTATTTAGTACTCCATTGGAAATAAGCCACATGAAGAAGCTTATCCTTTCGGTACTCCGTTATGGATAAATATTATCCATGGTAGAAGATTATCTTTATCTGGCACATCAGCTTGCAGTAGTAGCTTACAAAGCAGCTTGCAGTAACAGCTTACACAACAACTTGCAGTAGTAGCTTACACAGCAACTTGCAGTAGCAGCTTACACAACAGTTTCCTTTCTTCTATAAATAGAAGAGAATTAAGTTCATTATGTACATAAGTTTGAAGTTTGAATAATATATCAGTTTCTCTCTATACTTGTCTTTACTTTACTGTTTTTATTTTATAACAGTTTTCTTTTTGATTAAAAAATTTGTATAGAAAAGGAGGGTGAATTTGCAGTTTAGTTAAACTTTAAGGAAGCTATTTGTAATGTTTTCAAAGTAGATGGGTGGAAGATGTAATTTACCAAAATACATATATATCAAAACAATGAAACAAAAAACCTTAAACCCTACTGTGTTGAGTGCTGGCTTAGCTGATGTGCAGCTAGGGTTTATTATTATTGTGGAGAAAATTGATTTGCTGTTTGCTACAATCGTAGAGAAAAATGGGAAATTCTCGAGCTCAAGTAAACAAGGCTCATAAAACTCGTTTTGCTTCCAAATCCTCTCGTAATGTTCACAAAATTTCTTCAAAAGGTACAGTTTTGTTCTCTCTCAGTTGTGTTAACTTTGCTTAATTTATGTATTAATTAATAATTTGGTTACGTCAGATAAGAGCAAAATTGCGAAACCTGATCGCAATCTCATCAAGGGAGCCCGGGCAGCTCGGCTTCAGCGTAATAAAATGGTAAGCTTTTACTGTTCATAAAAATTATTGCTTTTACTGTCAATTTTTTTTATTACTTTATGGGTTATTGTGTTAGTTTTATATGCAAAAATGCAATTTTGTAGATGAGGGAGCAGAAAAGAGCTGCCCTTTTACAGGAGAAAAGAGCTTCATCCGGATCAAATAGTCCTCCCCGAGTTATTGTAAGTATTCTTCTTTTTTTTTTCCGATTTAGTTAAGTCAAAAAGATTTAATCAACAAACACAAATTGGTGTCAAAACAGTTATTGTAATAAATTTAGCTGGTGAGACATGGTCAGCTGAAGTGGAGGAGAAGGAAGATATATGTTATCAGTGTTTTCTAACATTTTTATGTGACAGGTTCTGTTTGGTCTATCTGAATCAGTTGATCTTAGTGCGCTTGAACAAGATCTTCTGAAGCTACTGTCTGCAGATGGAAATGGTGTTCTGTTTCCGGCAGTTGCTTCCTCGGAATATAAGTTGAGAGCAACGGTAGGAAGTGCATCCCTTTATCTATTAATAGTTGTTAAGTGATACGCAGAAGAAGAATATTTGCTTTTTTGAATTGGTCGCAGGTTCTAATTTAGCCAAGTATCATATTATGAGCAAACAGATGCAAAGCATAGTTATGTAAGTATAACTAATAAATCAATTACTGTCCTCAATCCAAACTAAATCCTCTTTAACCGTTCACTCTATTCGGGTTTATACAGCAAGATAGGGGAGTAATATACGAGATATAAGCTTTAGCGGTACATTATAGGATAGAAGGAGCTTCAACTACACTTAAGAATATGAATAAGAGGAGGCTAGGGCTCAGGCATGTGTATTCCATACCAAAATGCTAGAAAAACAATCATAATTACTTTTATGAATTTTCATATCGCTATTCTTTTCGTGTCAAATCTGATGCCAGAAGCAGCATACTATAAATTGTTCGTCGGTTATTGATAGTTAAGTAGTTTTCTACTTTTCTTTGCTTTGGCTTGTTTCTTCTTCACAGAGAGGTCTGAAGAAATCCTAACAGTAAGTTATTTTGTCTAGGTCTTAAAAGCACCTCATGGTGATGTCTTGACATGTATGGAGATGGCCAAGGTACAATATATGCTCAGAACTATTTCCAGGTTATGATTGCTCTTAGGTTCTTTCAAGGATGTTCAACTTAGAAACCGTGGCATTTGCAGGTTGCTGATTTAATTGCTTTTGTCACATCTGCAAGTTCCTCTAATGAAGAAGATTGTCATATAGATGCATTTGGATCTCACTGCCTTTCGGTCTTTAGAGCCCTTGGTCTTCCTAGTACTGCAGTGCTGATTCGTGTAAGGATAAAGATACTTTCCTGAAAGGAAGAGATTCCTTTTGTCATTTTCTTGGGAATGCTTTGGTAAATATTTTAGACTTGAGTAAGTTTTCTTCTGTGCTATAGGATCTGCCCAGTGAGTTAAAAAAGAAAAATGATTCAAAGAAGGCATGTGCATCTAGCCTGGCTTCTGAATTTCCAGAGGACTGCAAGTTTTATCCAGCAGATACAAAGGATGAGTTGCATAAGGTAATGATTTGGAGATTGTCTTTTATTGTTTACAGTTTTTTTTTGCTATGACGTCTTCTGGCATATTTCTGTACTAGTCTAGTTAACCTATGAAATCATTGTTTTTTGGGTTGTGCTTTGTAGTTCTTATGGCTTTTTAAGGAGCAAAGGCTCTCAGTACCTCATTGGCGTAATCAACGGCCATATCTAATGGCTCAAAAGGTATGGACCTTCGGGTTTTCCACTTTCTTGATATATTTATCTCTTCTTTGAGGCCCTGTTTGATAATTTGTTTTTAGCTTTTTTAGTTGAAATCTTTTCAGCCAGAAAAAAGGAGCAAAAGCTATCTCTTTGTAATTTTGCATCTTCTTGATGCCTTGCAATGAAGAATCTTATTTCATCAAAAAAAAAAGGGAGCAAAAGCAATCATTCTCCTAACATAATACATTGTTACATCAGACTTGAATTTAGTCGTTAGATTATGTATGTTGACCTTGCATGAATTTTCTCTGATATTGTTTGACAGTGAATGCTTCAATAGAGTGGAGTGGATATATGGGATCCATATAGTTTACACAAACTAATTTGAGATTGCAGAGTAGCTAATTGATTGATTGATGTTTGTTGATTTCTTATCGGGTTCAACAATTCAGCACCTGCTTTCCTAAATTTCAGATAATGTGTATGCTGTCTCTCCAAATACATTTCTAGAGAGCATGACCGTGATGGCTTGCCCCTTTTTTACCATTTTGTGGAACTTTAGTTGTCTCAATGATTTTTATGGAAGTGATGTATTTCATATAGGTTCATTCATTGTTAACAGTTAGGCAGACATTTGTTGACAGTCAGCATAATTCAATTTAACTATGATGAATCCTCTGAATGGGCCTAAATAAACCGGAATAGACACAGTTCATATAGCCGATTCTAACTTGTTTGGGATTGAAGTTGATTGATTGTAAGGCAGACATTTCTTCATTCCTAGACTGACTACCCAAAAACTAAAATGTATAGACCATTTTGATCTATTCAACTTTAATATCAATGCAGGCGACTTTTAATTGACTTTGTTCTGAACTATGGTTTTGGTCTTTGTACTTCTTTTTGCAGATACGGTTAGTTTAGGATTCAGGATTAATTTCTTTCTTGGGGTCTTGTTGTGTTTCAGGTCGACATATTAGCTGATAATTCCATTTCAGGAAAATGTACACTCCTCCTCTCTGGTTATATTCGTGCTCGTAGCCTGTCTGTGAATCAGCTGGTAATTGTTTTGCTTCAGCATATAACTTTGAAATGTTAAAGATACCCCTGACATTAAATACTCCCGGATCAGGTTCACATAACAGGTGCTGGAGATTTTCAGTTATCCAAGATTGAAGTTCTCAAGGATCCATGTCCCCTGAACGTGAGAAAAGGGGACTTAATGGATTCTGATGATATGAATGAGACACAGGTGAACTTTTATTTTGCTTACATAAACAGAATTTTTTTGTGGTATTTAAAAAGTTAGTATCTGATAAGATAAGATTGAACTGTAAAATAGTGATTTCCTATTAATTCTACTCATTCATGCTTGAATTTCTCTGGATTCATTTCTTGTCTCACCATTCTTCTCTTTCTCTGGACCTAGAGGCAACATTTTGGCAGACACCAAAGTACAATTACTACTCCTCTTTGTATAAGGCATTTTACTGACGAAGTTCAATATTCCAAAGTTGTATATAGAGACGAGGCAAATTACAAATTGAAGTATTTAGAGGTTCAAATCCTCAATTATTTTTTACCTTATAAAAAAAAATAAAAACCCTTGTACTAAAATAATGGGCCTATGGCATTGTAGCTATATGCTTCTAGTGCAGCTGACATCTTTCCTCACCTTTTCTGGATGATGTATTCTCATAACCTCCAACCCCTCTCCTTTATCGGTGTAACATGATATGCAAACATCTATTCTCCTCCTGCGCCTGCTGTAGTAAGTTTCGTGGTTCATTGAGCAGAATACTTTGGTTTCCATCTCTCCTCATCCCAGCTACTTCTTCCAATGTATTACAGGTCGTCAGTTGCTTGATTCCTGACCCTATGAAGCAAGAGCCTTTACTTGTTGAGAATGTCCCTGATCCATTGGCTGGAGAGCAGGTATAACTCTATTCTTTGTACGGTTTTATTGTTCAGACTATGAAAGCAGGAGTGGTCAAAGTCCATACATGAAATGCATGTGTCTTATCATTCTACCTTGTGCATTTCTTTGTAACCACTGGGTTTTCAGTTCATGATGTAATGCATGAGTCTCATCATTGTACCTACTTGTGCCATTCTTCTGTAACCATTTGTAATGTGTTCAAGTATTTGATGTCTATGTTGGTCTTAATCAGACATGGCCTACTGAAGCAGAAATGGCTGAAGCAGAAAGAAATCACGAGGAAAGAAAGCTGAAAAGGAAAACTCTTCCTAAGGGCACTTCTGAATACCAGGTTCATTTTCTGTCAATAGTTGCCCAAACATGTATTCTTTATTGTAATCTAGGTGTATTGGTTTATACCAGAAATAATTAGTTGACTTGCAGGCTGCTTGGATTGTAGAAGATTCAGATGCTGATGTTTCTGAGAGCGAGAATGAAGAAGATGATGGTATGGTCTTGGACGAAGGGGAGAATGCCTTTAATAGCCAAGGGCGTATGGATGAATTTGAGCTCGATGATGACCAGGCTTCTCTATCACTCGAGTCAGATGAAGAAACTGAGACTCATTCTATGATGATGGTGGGTATACCTATGAGCATAGACATGACTATTATTTTTCCATTTTTGGCCTTGTAGCATATAAGTAAAGCTGATAGAGTAATCGGGATGATCGAAAAAGGGAAAGGAAAATGCAAGTTGTTAACTACTTATCTCATGAAGAAACCGAATTGAAAAGAAGATAATGGTGGTAATTTCCATGAATCAAATATATGATACTTTTAATTCTTGGCGATCAAGCCTACCATTTTAGCTTGGAAGGGATAAACAGCCTCAAGGTCTTTCTGTAGTAGCTTTTTAGGGGACAACAAAAAATATGTAGAATTTACACAACAAAATGTGGAATCAATCTTTACAATAGATGATACTTGTTGTAAATGAAGGTGTTTTAAGGTGATGGACATACACGTCATGTGTATGGTGTTGAAATATTAACTTCAATTATTTTTTGGTCCACTGTGTTTATTTACCTTTTCATTGTTAACTGCGGCTGTAGCTGATTTTGACCGCTGACTGTTTGGCTTATGAATACATAAAGCATTTGAACTCTTTGAGCAATATTAATATACATATGTGGTTTGCAGAGGGATGTATAACAAAGTATAGTAAAGCCTGATATTCTCCCACTGTGGGTTTAATACTTTAATCACATATATCCCGTATGGTCCCCATCATGTCACCAGTTACTAGGGTTTGATTATGCTATTTTCAGAATAACCATCACAGTATATCCTATTTCTGTTGCCAGATACAGCATGTTTCAGATAGTATTTTGCCTAATATGTGGAATTATATTCTCGTGCATGTGAAGCTGTTTGATGCATCT